GAAAACCAAATATATAAAAGGAATGTAAAAATTTATGTCCAATAATTAAACAAGGAAATGATTACGTGATAGTTTGGGAGTGCAGCCGGGATTGGAAATTTAACATTTATTGATAAAATAATAAATTAAAATGTCTACCTCAATATTTTGAAAAAAAATTTAAATAGTAGTGCAATGAAATTAAATCTAGAAGAGTCGTTTATCATTCAACGAGATAACGACCCAAAGCATATTACAAAAAGTAAAGGAATGGATAATGTTCCAAAGTAACTTCATACACCTCTCAATCATCTGATATGAACCTCATAGAACATTTATGGAGCCATATTAAAAGAAACTTAAGGAAATATAATATTAAAAACAAAAAATAATTAAAATCCAAAATTTTATTTGAATGGAATAATATTCAACACAGTGTGATTGACAAATTTGTTGGCACGATGCCAAGAAGATTACAAGAGATAATTAAAGTAAAGGAAGAACCGATAGATCATTAATTTAAGATATTATGATTAATAAAGTTCTATATATACGGAAACTTTTTTGACCTTATTTTTGTTATGTTTGCCTTTTCCTATATTTTACTTGATAATTAATTTCATTATTTTACATTGATAAATAAATGTATTGTTTTTTCTTGTTCATTAATAATAAATGTTATGTTTTTGAATATACCGGCGTAAAAATTATTTATTTATTAACATCCCAGAGATAAACAACATTAAGAAAATTTTAATTCATGCACCTCCAAACCATCACTCAACCACCTCCATGTTTAATTGTTGGACATCTATTTTTACATTCCTTTTGTATGTTTGATTTTCTCCAGACTTTAGTGTATCCATCTAAAGTAAAAATATTAAATTTACATTCATCATTGAGTATACGAAGATAATTGACTAACTATATATCTGCATTATCGATATTACCTGGAATTTTGTTAAATAATCTAATAAATTAATGAAATTAAGATCGATATATAATGTTTCGCGAATTTCGTTGCTTTTAAACGTCGCAAGAGAAAGGTTGATGCACAGCAGCCAATTAGCCGTCCATGTTTCCCAGAAGATACCGGCGACTCTTGGGTAAACGCAAATAAGCGACTTGGAAATTTTCAAAGCTCCTGAAGTTCTACAAGAAAGCGCGTGGCAACTGACGACTGAAAGAGACACCAAGGAAAAGAGAGAAAGAGAAAGAGTGAGAGAGAGAGAGAGAGAAAGAGGGGAGAGAGAGAGAGAGAGAGAGAAAGAGGGAAGAGAGAGAGAGAGAGAGAGAGAGAGAGAGTAAACTGAGAGTAAACGAATGGCAAGGAAAGGAGACAAAGATAAAGAGAAAGAGAGAAAAATATGGCAAGTTTACATTTAATTAGTCGGTCGCCGGTAACTATGCTTGAAAGACCACAGAAGGAAGGTTCGCTTGCAACAGCGAATCGCCCATTTAAATGCCCTTTTTCCGCTCTTCTTGCCGATAGCTAGCGAGCTCCCTAGTCGTTCTCTTAGCTTGTAATTGCCGCATAGAAAATGAGATTCTCCAATGTCTTCTTTCCTACTCCTTGCTCTCTAGACCCTTCTCGCATCTTCCGATAATTTCCTGTAAAGTAAAGTGAACGTTCTCCGAAAAAAGTCCCATTGTTTTCTTTTTCTATCGAAGAAATTCAACGCTAAAATAAAGAGAATATAAAGAGAGGCTAAAGGATAGAGGCAAAAAAAATATATATATACATAGAGAAAAAGAGAGAGAGAGAGAGAGAAAAAGTCGAAATAAAATAATTAAAAATCATATTCTCAAAAAAGTGATACTCTAAGATTTTCCAGTTCATCATTTAGAAAGATTTCGCTTAGGCTGTTAATTAGATCGAACGATAATGGTAGAATTATTCTCTCTCTGTCTCTCTTGATCTCTCTTTCTGTCTCTCTTGATCTCTCTCTCTGTCTCTCTGTCTCTGTCTCTCTTGATCTCTCTCTGTCTCTCTGTCTCTGTCTCTCTTGATCTCTCTCTGTCTCTCTGTCTCTGTCTCTGTCTCTCTCTCTCTCTCTCTCTCTCTCTCTCTCTCTCTCTCTCTCTCTCTCTCTCTCTCTCTCTCTCTCTCTCTCTCTTTCTCTCTACCAGAGTGGTTGAAGGGCTGAAGATCAAAGACATACCAAAAGCGAATGGTCGCTTTTCCCTTCTAATTATGGAGAATTTCCCCGTCAATTTACACATCTTGCTGTCAACGCTTCCGACAATATCACCAGCTAAGGGTGGAAAGTAAGACGAAACTTTGAGAACTCTTACTATGTTTTTCTTGGAAATATCAACTCGACGATACGAATAGTTTGATTTCTTCAAACTTTAAGTTTTATAATATATATATATATATATATATATATATATATATATATATATATTATTTTCTTTTGATTTCAAATATATTAATCAGCATTTTTGTCAGATGAAGTAGAAGGAGGAATAACTCTTGTTTCTCGGTCAACGATTAATGGTCATCTGCAAAAGCAAAATGACCACGCCTGCCAAAGCAATTAGGCAGCTTTATAGCCCGTGAAATCAGATGCGACCGTTCGCATGGTCCTTTATCTCGACAGTATCCGTATTACTAAGACACGATATTACCTTTGTAAAACAACCAATATAAATAATATTCCCTGCTAAAACGTATTTTCTATTTTTGAATTAAGTAAAAGATATTTTAACAATTACTTCAAATTTTCTTTCCTCTTTCATGAATTTTATATATTTACGGTACTCGTCTAGTTTATTCTTATTATGTTCGTTTCTATTCTTCCCACACTTTTCGGTTCACTTTGTTGGATCCTTTAATAAATATCTCTTTTACTCTCTCTCTCTCTCTCTCTCCCTTCTTCTCTTTGCAAGCTCAAATGCGTCTAGAAGTAAAGGAAGTAAGGAAGGAAGCCGGGCCCACGTCTTGAATAGGCTGCTACGAATCGACCCTCCTCGTACATTCCCCTCCTTCGTTCTCGTTCAGCTTCGATTCGCGTTCGACAAGTAATTAGAGGAAACTTCGCTTCCTCTCGAGGGTAGCCGATATTCAACTTCTACCCCTCTCTCCCTTTTCCTTTCCTTCCTCGAACTCGCTCCTTCACCGAACTCGCCGATAGGTAGCTACTTGGTGCGTAAAAAAGATAAACTTTTAATTTATTTAAAACTCAACCCCACGACTATGGTCAGAGAGAGAGAGAGAGAGAGAGAGAGAGAGAGAGAGAGAGAGAGAAAGAGAGAGAGAAAGAGAGAAAGAGAGAGAGAGAGAGAGAGAGAGAGAAAGCAAGAAAGAAGCTTTTACCCTCGGCTCTCGAGCCATGCATATACACTAATGAATTCTTATTCGATGTTAGTATTAAAGAGGTCGCGAATGGAGTTGGTAAGCTCTTTCATCGAGGGACTCATACATAAGCTATGTTACGGGCCTGGAACGAAAATTGTTGGAATGGTTCTGTCCGTAAAAGATGTTCTTGCCAGTTAAAAAAAGTTTTTCCTCTCTAAGAATTGGTTGAGGGGACCGAAAAATATCGTAAATAAACGTTCTATATTCATTAAAAAATTTGTTTCGATTTTGTAATCACGTTTTTGATTTCAAATATTAATAAAAAATAAAAAATTAATTTTACCTAGCTATATATTCGGTCTTAACGTTTTCGTTTTATATTTTCAACCTTTCTTGAACATTACTATTATCTACCGCTAGATCTGATATACCTTTGAAACCCTTTCGATAGTCGACTTTTAGGCTTCCCCAAAGGATTATCTTTCGTGAACGGATGTCCACTTCATGCTAATCGAAATGAACATCGAAGTGAAGCTTTTGCATCGAATGTCCTCAATTTTCCTTTATTTCGTTTTCAAGCATTGAAAAAAAAAAAAAAAAAGAAAGAGAAAAAGATTTGGCAGGATTTGGCGTCGATTCTAAGATATTTCATTGGAGTCGAACGTATTTTCGAGCAGGCCTTGGGAAATGAGAGAAGGAAATACGCGCTGGGAACGATTTTTCTTGGAAATGGCAGATAGTAATATCGCTAATACATTTTTCGATGTAGTGGCTGAACAGTCATCTCGACCTCGTAACAAGTAGCTACTAGCTTTTTTACGCGTTCTCACCGTCGTGGCTTTCCGCTGGAGATCAAAGTAAATCCGTCATTGGACCTTTGCTTTCCCTATTTCTTCTTTCCTCTCTTTCTCTCTCTCTCTCGCTCTTTCTCATTTATAATTTTCATTTCTCTCTTTTTATACGCCACATATACATTTTCTATACTCATATACGAGAGATTTGTAGTATCAAACAAATTTTTGATTCACAACGATCAAGACATTAGTTTTAGTTTCGTCTTAATAATTTATTAACTTTAAACTTTATTAAGAATAAAATGTCAGGTCATAAAGTTACTGAACTTTGATTAAAACGTAATAAAATTAATCGGCCACCAGCATTATTGGAATTAAAAGTTTGTTATTGTTGTTATTATTATTTTTTTCTTTAGTAGAAGAAAGTCCATTATTCCTAAGATGCGAACGATCTTACCTTATTAATTTATCGACTCGCGGTGGAGCTACCATCCCGCAGCTTGGAATACTCGCAAACTCGTTGCGACGAGGTCCCGTCGCGTTGCGGAAATATTTCAGAGAACCCCATCTTCGTGAGTACGTCCGGCTCAATTAACGGCAAACACAGTCGAGGGGTGCGCCTTTTCTCCTTGCCTTACTTTTATATATGAAACTAAGAGGGAGGATAAGGGGGAGAGAAAAGTAAGTCCGTGTATATTCTCTGAGTTAACGTGTGCCAAGGGAGACACTTTTGCATATCAACGATGATCTGTACTGCCACCTTACAAATTAATTCAAATAATTTTCGAAATGAGAATTATTATAATAATGTAACATTATCGTGCTATAAAATACATACTTTATATCAACGTATTATAAAAAAATTTTCGAATAACTTTATGAGAAATAAAATAAATGCAGCGAAAATAAATTCTAATTCAGACAAATAAATTATAAAATTTTTAACGATTTATTATTGAAGTAATAACAATTTCAAAAGATGTAACGAACAAAGTGAAACAATCATAAAAGTGATTGAGTGCGTCTTGTCGGCAGCATTATAAAAATTATCAGAATCATAAGGAGTGGATTTCATATAAGCTAAGGGATACTTTATCCAGTGTTTGTAATATATAACATCAGTGTAAATTCCAGGAAGTTTTGGTCTTGCGCAGCCCTCTCCGGCTGAAACGATACCCATTAGAACACCGTTGCAAACCATTCCGCCACCAGAGTCACCCTGCGAAAAATAATTATGATACTTTAAAAAACTTTTCCCCAGGGAAAAGAATATATATCAGAAGAAAAAGAAAATTTCATTTCGGTAGATATGTATACGAAAATAGATATTAAAATATGATATACATAATATAAATGAAATAGTAATGGATTATGAACGATAATAGTAGAAAATATCATTCGATAGAAACAGAAATCGATCGATAGTTGTTCGAAAAATATAACCTTTTAGCTTAATAATTGACTCCTTTTTTGATCAACAAAAGTTTCGAGATAACGATTGAATAATATCTCAATAAGCATCATAAAGTCAGTAAACAATTAATGTAAAAGACGAGTAAGTAAAATATTTTAAATTTAATAAGATAAGATTTAATTTGTAATGAAGATCAATCGATCGCTACGATTTGCATTCATATATTCTCTGACCAAATCGTATTTTTTACCTGGCAAGCATCCCTCAAGCCTTCGATATAGCCAGCACAAAACATTCCTGGTGGTAATTTTGTTACTTCTACGAGGAGATTACGACAATCTTCCATACTCAAAATCGGCAGATCCACGTACATCAAGTCGTTGGTCACAGGTGGGACGTTCTATCGAATTTCAAATAACTTTCTTCAAAATAATCGAAATAACAGATATATTTTTCAAACAATCTTACCTCTGCAGGGTAGCCCCATCCTGATACTTGACAGATCGTACCAGGTGGAACTTGATCCTCAGCCAAAGGAATCGGCTTCAATTGTGCCGTAAATTGAAATGGCATTTTTAACTATGGAAAAAAGATATGCGTAAGACGAAAGTAAAATTAAACAGAGTCATTGTACATGAGATCAGCTTACATTGCCTTATAAATTTTAATCCTAACAATGTCGGTAAGAAAAGAAAGATAAGATTAGATGTGAACTTTCATTGCTTCTTTGTTTATTTATCGGAAATGTGATAGCTGCGCGTGTTACAAATAACGAATTTCTAAACACTTAAAATATCTACATACCTTGAGTATAGTAATATCATTTTCATAAGTATTCTGATTAAATTTTGGATGAAGTAAAATATTTTGAACGCCCCTTTTCTGGCCAAACTTTGTCGTATGATCAAGTTGCATTTCTCCGCCAACGACGACAATGGTCCATGGTTCAATGGGGATATTGTTACTAAATAATTTATTGATTTTCCATTTTCTTTCAAATGCTTTTTGTAAATTTTCTTATAAGAAGATATAACTACTCACAGATACATGCAATGTGCCGCTGTTAAAACAAAATTCTCACTGATCACGCTTCCGCCGCAGAAATGATTTCCAGACCAAGTGCGTCTCAATGATACCTACTTACATTAATGTCTTTATCCAATGATTTTTTTTTTGTAAGAACAAGATATACATACATATATCGACTCAGTTGTGATACATACCTGATGCGGAAATTGACTAACCGCTGCTTTTGTTCCATTCACTATACGTCCGGTAATATTGTAACTGGTTATTTCAACATCATCGTATAAACTAACTCTTTCACCTGACAAAACGCATGTAATAAAATAAGACAAATAAATATAGATATATACGTAAAATAAACAGGTAGTTATAAATTCCATTCTATTTCAACAAGCGACAAATAATTTTCCTTAATAATTATACTTCGAACGTTATCTTCTCCCTCGAATAAAATTTCAATCATTGCTTGTCGATTGGACGATCAATTAAGATAATTGCAATTTTCGTTGTGCCCTCGGTTTCTCTCAAAGCGACGTATTTTCAGTCGATTATGCATATTAACTTTCGACATAAAATAATTACGTGGACATTTCGAATTTTCATGATAAAATCTCGTGGACAGTGCACGAGAGAAAAAGTGAAGGGAAGGAGAAAAAAATATCGAGGAAAAATGCTTGCGAACGACGTGGGACAACATCAGGAGAAAATTAATTATTCGTTTTATTATATTTTCATATTATGCAAAATGTTTAATTCGGGCTTATAAAATCCATAAAAATTTCAAATTTTTACTCACCTTCTATGACGATCGTCTCGTAAAGAAGAAAAGTAACGATTATAAAACGTAAAAACTGTGAATATAAAGGGTAAAGCAAGTGAATTTTCATTTTGCAGTACTTAAAGTACTCGATAAGAAAATCACTAAAATAGCAGTTCGTCTAGAATGTAAGACCATACGATACTGACGATTGAAAATCTTCTGCTATCTGACTTTCTCAGAACGTTTAACAAAAACGTCTATTATCGTAACGTGATAATCAGTTATCGCTTATAGCATCTTGCTTTAATTTCTATCGTAGTGCGTTGGTAATGGTAAAAAGTTCATCATGAAAAAAATTCATAATACGTTCGTTAACAAATTAATTGTGTAAATATTTGTATGTTTCATTGAGTTATCAAATTGATTAATATAATATTTGAACTAGAAATAATATGCAAGTAGTAAAATTACTAATAATTTATAATGCAAAACATCAAGTCGTACGAAATTTTTATCTATTTTTTTAGTTTTGAGGTTATCATAAAACTAACAATTACATCTTTGCTCACCCAAATAGTCGTCACTATACTAGATCTTGATCGTTCCATTGACACAGATCTACGATGTTTCCCACGCACGTGTACGTACACACGTACAAAAGATTTGATCGTAAGTCGAGAACGCTCGGTTTATCAATTATCATAATCGTAGACCAAACTAATTATAAATTCGGTGGAATATCAAGAACATATTGATACCAAAATGAATCGAAGGCTATCAGCATTACATAATTCTATTTGAAATAGTCAAGATCTTTTATTATTAACAAAACAGTGTCCGTTAACAGTGTGACAGTAGAAATCGAGAAAACCGAAATATTTTCTACTCTTCTTCTTTTTGTTTCCTCTATTTTTATCCGTCTTTTCGATCATCGTACAATACATTTGAGGATTACTGTCGGATATAGAAATTTGTTTATTTTCTTATCCTGTAAAATATGAGAATATTTTTTTTTCTTTTATTCAGATGTCATCCGTATGACCAATCTCCAATTTTTTTCCCTGAAAAACGAGAAGTGAAAAGATAAAAGTATGGAAGATGTAATATTAATAATCAAAAACAATGAATAAAGTCGATAAAAAAAACCCAAATGAAAAACGTATCAGAAATGGATCGATAGATGTTTTATCGCATATCAATTATCGCGTTTATAGAAAGAATCTCGTAGAGATATCCCAAAAATAACTTCAATTAAATGTTTCTTATCGAATAAAATTGATATCTAAAATAATTGTACGCAAAATGATACAAATAAAACCTTTTACAAAAAATCGAAATCATTAGAGAGTAAAAAAACATGACACTACTTCAATATATTTTAAGGATAGTTTCTTTCAAATTGGTCGCAATTATCTATCTCTCCAATAAAATGATAAGACCGATACGAGATAGGATATTGCGTATAATATAAAAAATTCTAAAGGAAAGAATTTTCTATCTGCTTTACGTTCCCAAGTACGATAGTGCGATGCTTGCAAATAATGGTATTTCTAAAGTAGGATAATTTTTCTCTTAGTTAAGGTTATTTCATTGGAAATACCGCTAAATTGCATGTTCTCAACAAGTATCTAACATACAAAATACCCTGCATTTAAGGTACCATCGACATAAATCAGAGCAAAATATCGCTGGTCTTACTAAGCTTGCGAAACGTTTGTGTGCAGTTTAAAAAAAAAAGAAAAGAAAAGAAAAGAAAAAAATAAGATATAGAGAAAGTAAAAAAATAGTATCGATAAATTATACACCTAATATAATAAATTATATTATATGTCCTTAATGTTATGAAATATATGGAAAAGTAACTTAAAGGAAAACACAAAGGGAAAGAGTTGTGAATAAAGGAAAAAGAAATGGAAAGAGAAAGAAAAAGAGAAAAAGAGAGAGAAAGAGAGAGAGAGAGAGAGAGAGGGAGAGAGAGAGAGAGAGAAGGAGAGAGAGTGTACAGAGCTGATAGCAGGAATTTCCCATTCCAACCAACATAAACCCATACAAATGCTACGTACAATTTTCGTGCATCCGACGAAGCTATTACAAGATTCGTGGTCTTGTCTATGCACAGGAATCGCGTTAGATCGGGCGAACTGCGTGTCTTTATACATATCGAATTCAAAACACTCTTCTCTTTTCATTTTTCGCTATACCTATTTTCGCAAACCTGAAAGTTCGAATACATTTGATGTTAAAATACGCGCCGACGGTACCTACTCCTGTTAATAGGCAGAGAGACGGTCGAGCACTTAGACGAAGGTTAATAACGAGCGAGAACTATCGTCGAAAGCCTACGAGCTTTCGTGGTTTTTCTTCCATCGGTGATGAGCTTTTACTTCCTTTTCAACTAGCTACAGTTCTTTCAAAAAGTGAAAATTCAATATAAAAATGAGTTACTATTTGAAATGGAAAATGTTTTCAGAAAATATAAAAAGAGAGAGATGAGGAGAGAAAGAGGAAGGAATACATTGCAACAAAATATCAGGAACACATTGCAACAAAATATTAGGATATTTTATCGCAATCAATAGTAATTAGTAACGCACGAGAAGCACAAAAAAGCGAAATATATACCCCGTGTCGGGTTGATTGCGTTTGACGGGACATGCCATAAACTTATTGCTCCTCGTATCTCATCCACGTACATATGTACATGGTATGTATGTGCTTTCGTATAACGAATCTGTGAAGGCAAGGAAAGTGGTATTAGTAGATAAAGCCATGCGTGGGCGACCGTAGAGAGTATGGCCGAGGGTACTCTCGATCTCACTCGCGAAATTTAAAGGATCTCTGCCTTGGGGCGAAGGCCTTGAACGAATATTAAGCTGATCACATACATCGAACAACGAAAGGTCCAGAGTAAAAAATGTTTCCATTGTTCGTAACCTTGAATCGATAAGAGAAAACGTGATGTAGGAGTAGACGATTCGATTAGATATTTTGAATAAACAATGAAACTGGCGAAATTTTATTTGATGAATGATCTATTATATACTATAAAAATACTTATCCTTCTTATAAATTAAAAATTATTTCTGTTCTTACATTTATTCTTCTGAGAAAGACTACATAACTCTCTCTCTCTCTCTCTCTCTCTCTCTCTCTCTCTCTTTATCTATATCTATTTCTTTATTCTTTATTTTTATCTCGTCTTAGCTGATACACCGTCTCTATCTCCTTTCTGATGCCGCCCACTACTACTACCGAGTCACTTCTCTCTCTCTCACACCATTTTCCAACATTCCTTCCACTCCCTCCTCTTTCGTCCTCCACAAGCCAGCTCTGCTACTACCTTCTATGAGCTTCTTACAGCCGGATCGCGGAATCATTCTCGATGGTACCGAGGATAATGTTTATGGTATATAATGATAAGGAGTGCTATGTTAAATCTAACCACTTGGGGAATCTTTCGATAGATAGCGCAATATTTATCCTCACTAAATTTTCTAACGTTTTAAATAATTCGATATGCGATGATAATGCAATTATTTATTTGCAAATCAAAGAAATAATGAATTCGATGACTTGTTCAATTTGTTCACTTTATTCCATTAAAATAATATTAATTTAAATTTCATTCTTGAATCAATATAAAAGGGAAAAGTAAAATATTCGTTCATGTTCACAAATATTTAAAGGAATAAAGTATATACATACATATACAAAAACAGGCCGCAAACATTGTTAAATAATTCGAAAAGAAGAAATAAAAAAGTGCATAAAGATATTCTTAAACATTTCAACGAAGTTCAAAACGGAGTAGATGTATCTAGCTACGAGAAATACTTTGACCTTGATAAAGTGGCGAACTCACGACCCTATTCGTCGGAGCCCTTCTCTCCAACACACAGACACATAAAAACATGCACATTCATGCTTGAAGACCGTTCCACGACGCTACCATCCGGTGTGTGGTGGAAGGAGGAAGAAGGTAACCTTGACTGGAGTGCAAGCAGTTAAAGGGCCGTTCAAGGCCTACCAGACGATCCCTCTCTCCCAGTCCATCGTCTGGCTTGGCTGGTCGTTACGCTTCGCCAAGTGGACGATGGATGAAAACTCGCAGAACGGAACCTTTTCCATTCCTCGTACAAATACGAGTTCGCCTACAGCAACCACCCATTCACTCTCCACCTCCTTTTATCTCGCTCGGAGAACAAACTCCAGAAATGCGAGTAACAAGCAAAAATCTTTTCCCTTTTCTATACATTGTTTATTCTTATTCAGCCCATTAGCATGTTGAAAATTTAATCTTTGAACATATTCTTTTTCTAGTAATTATATTTTAAATAAAAAATCTGCTTAATAAAGAAATTTTATGGACTATATCGAAGCACTACTTTATTTAATTTATCTCGTTAAAGCTTTCATTTCTTTTATTAGAAAAAGAAAAAGAGAACAAGAAAAAATGAAAGAGAGAGAAAGAGAGAGAGAGAGAGAAAGAAAGAGACAATTGTTCCATGATTTCCATTTTCCTTTATCCGTTTTATTATTTAAAAAGTTATTTTTTTTCTAATTAATTTTTGGCAGTTAGATAGGGAACAAGGGTGCAGAAAAGAACGACGAAGTATTTTAATTAATCTCTACATCGAAAGATGAAAAAGAACACATCTTCTTGTCGGAATTATTTCATTTCCAGTCGTGTACATGCTATGTATGTATGTACATACATATACCTCGGTTAAGCGAAATTCAAGCGACTTGTACTCGACCCAACCGCTTTCACTGGGTTTGCGATAGGGCGACGGTTATCGAATTCTACTTCAAAGTCGCTCTCTTTGTGCCAATACGCATCCCACGTGGCTGAATTTTTTATATGATTTACCATTTCCGTCCTTGTGTTGGAGCGTATGCAATGAAGAAGATAGAGAAAGAGAGTATGAGAGAAAGAGGAAAGAACCGAGAAGTAATGCGACATTTCGAAAGCATCTTCGAGCCCTTTTCCCTAGTGGTAGGCGTGCGGCTGACGGCCCTTTGGCTTGTACCTCCTTGAGAAAAGCCTTTCTTGATGTAAAAATTGGGTTGCGTCTTTCCACCTTTTCGGACAAAAAGACTACCCTCCAACACTCGAAAAATTGCGTTTGTCGTACCTTAACATCTTATATATAGATCGTAATGGTTTTTATTCCATTCTTCCATGTCGACCTAAAAAGGGGTCGACATTTTCTCTGGTTCGTAGA